AGAGTGAACAAGGGGGACGGCACGGTTGGAGGAGAGTGAACAAGGGGGACGGCACGGTTGGAGTAGAGTGAACACGGGGGACGGCACGGATGGAGGAGAGTGAACAGGGGGGACGGCATGGTTGGAGTAGAGTGAACAAGGGGGACGGCATGGTTGGAGTAGAGTGAACAGGGGGGACGGCACAGTTGGAGTAGAGTGAACAAGGGGGATGGCATGGGTGGAGCAGAGTGAACAAGGGGGATGGTGCAGTTAGAGTAGAGTGGAGAATGGGGACAGCATGGTTGGAGTAGAGTGTATAAAGGGGATGGCAAGGTTGGAGTAGAGTGAACAAGGGGGACGGCACGGCTGGAGTAGACTGAACAAGGAGGCCAGCATGGTTGGAGGAGAGTGAACAGGGAGGCCAGCAAAAAGAGGAGTCAAGGACAACTCTTTCATCCAAGGTTTTTGGCTGAGCAACTAGAGATGCCATGAACTGAGAAAAGGAAGAGCAGTTTTAGGGGAGAAATCAGGACTTCACATAGGCAGGTGGATGTATAACTCTGGAGTTTAGGAGAGAGGTCTGGGCCAGAGAATCATATGACTTACTATATTACGATAACTTTTAAGCTAGGTTGTAATAACCCTATTTTCCTAATGAAGTCATTGAGGGTTAGACGTGGTATCTGACTAGCTAGTAAGTATTGGGAACCAGGAATAAAACTTCATTTCTGTCGGAATCCACTACTTGAGCTTCCTGCACCATGCCATGTTATCTCTGAAAAAGACTGAGTCCCAATTAAGCAGTAATTCTTACTAACCTGTTAATGCTACCACATGAAGCTTTTGGGGTTGTTGTTGTTGTGTGCCACTGAGTCGATTCCAACTCACAGTGACCCTATAGGATAGAGTAGAACTGCCTCATAGAGTTTTCTACGCTGTAATCTTTACAGGAGCAGACCACCAGGTCCTTTCTCCTGTGGAATGGCTGGTGGGTTCAAACTGCTGACATTTTGATTAGCAGCCAAGCGCTATAACCATTGTGCCACCAGGGTAGGGAACCCAAATATGAGAGGTAAGGTGGTTTTAGGCAGTCGGTTTACTGGCCCACCACAACTAGCTCCGCCAGAAAGGGTGTGGGGAGAAACAAGGGCAGGAAAGGAGCCAGGAGTGCAGAGGAGGCAGCCCTTCAGAGATGTGCTGATGCGCAGGGACGCTCTGCAATTTCCCACACGCTGAGAAACAACCGTCTGTGGGAAACGGTGGGACAGCTTGTTCTGATACGAGAAACAAGAAGCAAAGCAAAAACCAAACCAAACCACTTCTCTTGGCATAATGGCAGAAGCAACAAACTGAGGAAGAATATTCACAAATGTCACAACGTTCTTAGAACCACACAAACTAATGATGTAAGTCATATTACTGCACTTAGAGAGGGAAAACAAATCTAAACTGCTTCTCTTCTAGGACCCACATGACCTAGCCCATGTTCTACGCCACCCCTATCCCCCCCCCCCATATGACGCTCCACCTGCTCCTCCTGGCCCTCAACTAAACAAAGCTCGTCCACTGAAGGTCTCTGCATCTGCTGTTTCTTTTATGGGATACTCCTCTCCTACAGCTTGTGTGGCTGCCTGCTCTTTTTTTTTTTTTATTGTGGTAAAATACGTCCCACACAAAATTTGCCATTTTAACAGTTTTCACACTTGAGTTGTTTCTAAAACTTTTCCATCAACTAGATAGTGCCCGGCTATCACCACCGACTGCTCTGACAGGGATCACTACAGAGGGTCCCAGACAGAGCTGGAGAAAAATGTAGAACAAACTTCTAACTCACAAAAAAAAAAAAAAAAAAAGAGAGAGACCAGACTTACTGGTCTGACAGAGACTGGAGAAACCCCGAGAATAAGGCCCCCAGACAGCCTTTTAGCTCAGTACTGGAGTCACTCCCGAGGTTTACCCTTCAGTCAAAGATTAGACAAAATGGGCACACCAGCTCAGGGGCAAGGACGAGAAGGCAGGAGGGGACAGAAAGCTGGTAATGGGGAACCCAAGGTCAAGAAGGGGAGAGTGTCGACATGTCATGGGGTTGGCAGCCAATGTCACACAAAACAGTATTAGTTGTTTAATAAGGAACTAATCTGATCTGTAAACCTTCATCTAAGGTACAATTTTAAAAAAAAGAAAAAAGTGGGAACGAATGAGTGAATCGTTTTATTTACTTGTCCCAGGGGCGGGATTTTTCCATCACCCCTCTCTGTACCTATTAAGCACTGCTCCTCAGTGCCCCCTCCACCTAGCCCGTGGTAATCACTAATCTACCTTCTGTCTCTACGCATTTGTCTGCTCTCGATATTTCATATAAACAGGATCATACGCTATTTGTCCTTTTATGTCTGGCTTATTTCACTCAGTATAATGCCGTCAAGGTTCACTCATGTTTAGCATGTACTAAAACTTCACTCCTTTTTATGGCAGAATAGTATCCCATTGCACCACATTCATCCACACATCTGTTGATGGACACTTGTCCCTCTCTTTATTTAGGCCTCAACGCAAATGTCACCTCCTGAGAGAAGCTAACTTCGCCATTCAATTTAAAATACTCACTTTCCTCCAAGGCACTTTCTAACCTAAAACTCCATAATACTCATCTCTATCTGAAAATCTCCTATTTTGTGCCTGTGTTTGTCTGTCCCTCCCCACCAGGATTCAAGGAACTTGAGGGCGGGAACTTTGTCTTGTAACTGAAGACCCAGAACAGTGCCTGGCACGCGGTAGATACACGTAAAGACGAGTGACTGGCCCCTAAAAAGCTCTGTTTGAAAATGACAGAAAGCAAAGATTTAAAAAAAACACTCTTAATGAAATATGCAACCGCAATGTAAGCATATTCCAATACTCACTGAATCACCATCTTCTTTTTTAGAATCCCTTTTCAATGGCTCATTCATATCTTCCTGACTCCGGAAGCTGAAATTCTGAATTGCTTCTGTAACACCTCTAAGAGAGCTGTAAATATCCTCAGAGTTCATGTTTTCTGTGTCATAATCAAATGCACTAGGAACAGGAAAGCCTAAGTTTTACCTTTGTGCAGTTATAAAATACAAACACATTTGAGGAGATCATGGGAGCTATTTTTAAGGACAGGATTAGTGTATATTCCCCAAAGCATAATTAGCAGAACAAAACCTGGCAGCTATAAATGGTTACAGTACATGGCCTCTTCTGCCTCTGCGAAGGGCAGCTTGCAGTGACTCTAGAATGTCTAGCCCTACACAACTGATTTGCCTATTCACCTTCAAAAATGTGCCCATTAGTCAGGGGTTAGCAAACGATGGCCCGTGGGCCCAATCCAGCCCCTGCCTGTCTTTGTATAGCCTGTAAGCTAACAGTGGAGAAGTGGCAACAGAGGCCGTAGGCCTGCAATGCCTCAAGTATTTACTATCTGGCCCTTTACAGAAAAAGTTCATCAACCCCTGTGATTAATCACAATAATGGTAATGCTTGAAGAGGAAATAAATGTATTTTATGCAAAGTTATAAGAAGACAGAGAATTTTTAACACAGAACATGTATGTTATTGACATGAATTCTATAGTCAAATTCTAAAATTCAACTGAGGCTGGAATGTGGTCACCTAAATGGTCACATATGTGGAAGCATGGAAAAAGCGAGTCAGATGTTAAGCGTGCAATACATTTTCCTTTCTTAAATGCTGATCCTATATGTGTGTTTGTTTATGTATGTATGTGTGTGTGTATGTATGTGTCTATCCTATAATCATAACAAATAATCTGATGAAGCATGCTAGAGTATATGACTAATTACAAAAATCAAACCATTAATTACAAACATGAACCACTATGTAAACTTTTTTTTTTTAAAAAAGGTCAGAAAAACAGAAGAAATATTAGTCCCTTAATGAGGTAAGAAAGTCATCTGGAGCACAGTCCATGCATGAATTGTACTAGAGTATAAGAATTATACGTCTTATATTTTGTATCAAGGACCAATCTCTTAGTCACCTTTCTGCCTAAAAAATATATACAATGCTAGTTTCATTGGTTCTTCCTTACTTTTTATATTTTTGTCTATAAGCTTAATTTTTCCTCTACTTTTAGAAGTGGTTAAAAAACCCAAAATCAAGCCTGTTGCCATTGAGTCAATTCTGATTCATAGCGACCCTATAGGACAGAGTAGAACTACCTCATAGCGTTTCCAAGGAGTGGCCAGTGGATTCGAACTGCCAACCTTTCAGTTAGCAGCTGAGCTCTTACCCACTGTGCCAGCAGGGTTGGTCAATATTAAATCTAAGTATCCATCATTATAATTTGACCTCGCTATTTACAGTGGCTAGACCGCTGGTGGCAAAGTGGTTAAGAGCTCGTCTGCAAACCAAAATGTCCATGGTTCGAATCTACCAGCAGCTCCTTGGAAACACTATGGGGCAGTTCTACTCTGTCCTGTAGGGTCACAATGAGTCGGAATCAACTTGACGGCAATGGGTTTTATTTATAGTGGACAGTATAATATACCTGAAAGGCAAAATGTACAATTTTTCCATACTTCCCTTTTTTCTTTCTTTCTTTAGTTCTTTATTATTTACTGGATTTATAGAGCATCTCTGAGAAATGTAATTATGCTATTTAATGCAAATAAGTAGGTTTCCTATTCAGTTATAAAAAATGTTCATATCCTATGTATTTTCTTTCCATGATCATCATCTAAAGATTTAGCTTTGGAATAAACTTAGAACTGTTCAGATCTGTTAAGTTTCTACTTGTCTAAGACATTTGAGTCAAGTGGAAATCAGCTGGAATTATATTAACGTCTCTGCTTTTTTAAGAATTGGAATTTGCAAATGCAAACCACGATGGAAAATTAGCCTTTCGTTACCTTGGAGATAAAGTATTCTGTGATGTATTGGTAGGAGAAGTAAGAGGACTGGACCAATTGGCTGGTGAACGTGATGCTGGCCTTGTCAAAGGACTCCCCATGGAACCCTGATGGGGGGAGACAGGTAGGTATGGCAGGTAAGTTCAACTGAAAGACTCTTTTAAGGAAAACATACAATCATTAGGTTGAAACACCTGAACTAGTCACATTTGTAGCTCAATATGTTAAATGTCCATGTATCTCTGGTTTCTGGTGGGGAAAACCTCCTCTCCATTCAGACACCTAACTCTTTGTCTCTTCCTGTTCTCCTCATCCCCTTCCTGCTCTCAAATATTATCAACACCTTTTTCCTCAAAGACTCAAGGAGTCCCAAAACTAACAATTTTAAGTTAGCTTCCTGTTCTGAGCCCATTTCCTTCTTCCAACCGTTACTAACGCTCAAGTCTTATTCCTTCTTGAGTTTGCTTTAACGAATAATTTTCACAGAGACACCAAGGGAGGTAAATTTGGTCATACTCCTAATTCGCTTATCTCTTAAGAAATAACGAAACAATCCCTTCTCCTTTTAAAGAGATCCCCGCTTTGGTTCTCAAGAAATTCTTCTCAGGTTATTTTTAATCCTCTAATTTCACCTTAAGCTGCCGTCAGTAGATATGCTTTCTCTTTTACCTATAATCAAAGGTGTGCCTGCTGTCTGCCTTTTAAAGATTAAATTCAACTCTAGCATATTATGCAATTATTCCATACCATTTCGATATAGAAAACAACACTTCAATCTTTCATGTACTCAGACCTTACTTCACCAAAATAGACTCCTATATATCCAGGCACCTAGAGACTAGTGGGCCTGTAATCATTAATAGTGAACAACTCTTTCTAAACACCACCCCTGTGGACCCCATTTGTTCGCTCTGGACCGGCCATCCCCACTAGTCCTGAAGTCAGGACTGGCTCACCTAAAGAGCGTTTTCTTATGGTAACGGCTTCCAAAGCTGGTGTCCTCATCTACGTTCTGCTTACACGTGGGTTTCCTTGTTTATGGCCCGGCTGCTGCTTACCACCAGCCAAATTATACTTTAAACATGACAGGCCCAAGGACTCTGTTTCTTCCCAGCACAGTATTTCTGCTCAGGAAATGCTGTCCAGTGCAGATGCAAAAATTATATCCTAGGTTCAGAAGGTTACTTCATGTGCAAGAAAGCAGCTCTCGTTAAACCAACCGTCAGGTTATACAATAGCCATGAAAACAAGCGGGAAATACCTGGGTCCCGTTGCCTGTGTTCCGAAGGTGATTATGAAGAAGCTTGGTAGCACCATCCTGAAAAGTTTTTGGTAAAGCTCCTAACAACATTGTAAACTCCGGGGTATTGAGTTCAAACAAGGAAATGAGCACGGACTGGGCTGCCTGGAAAACAAAGGCATATGAGAAGGAGGCGAATATGTTTGGGTTACTCGAAGGAGACCATGCGCTTATTTCAACATTTCTGGTCAATAGCACAAGGCTCGGCAATCTTTCCAAGGGAACAACAAACAAACACACAAACAAACATGTTCTACTTGCTGTCAAATTTCTGTTGGCAGAACAAAAAAAAATGGGATCTATTTACTTTTTGAATCTAAAAAGGGAATATAAAAAAGTATAACAAATGTGACCTAACAACCAATGGAGAAAAGTTAACCAGTTTCCACAGTCCCTCTATCGATTATAAGCTACTGCTTGAGTTTTCCTAATCAATAATTACAAGGAGAAAAACGGACGGCACTAAAAGTAGATCATCAAGCTATACAGAGCCTACCCAGTGCAACTTGGTACTGTAATTTCTTACACTAACCGGCCACGTCCAGCCTTACTGCAAGCGGCTGATGTCAACAAATCTACAAGTTGAAGCAAAAACCCGTCTAATGTTTTGTGGAAACGGGAACAAAACAAAGTTTACTCAGATCTGTTAAGAAAATTTACAATTTTTCTCTCTTCTTCTAAAGTAATGAACTGAGTCACTGAAAGCCAAACTTTAAAATTCATATTACAGAGAAGTTTAACTGCAGAGAGAGAGAAACTCAAACGGGTCTAGACTGCATGACTTGTATCCAAACGTGACTGCCTTGTTTTGGAGTGTTTCTGACCCCACACTATGAAACCTAAGTGTTCTACAGATGGTGATGGCATCTGAATACATAACACTAGACACCAAAAAAACTAAACCCACTGCCGTCGAGACGATTCCGACTCACAGTGACTATAGGACAGAAGAGAATTGCCCTACAGGGTTCCCAAGGCTGTAATCTTTACGGAAGCAGACTGCCGCGTCTTTCTTCCGCGGAGCGGCTGGTGGCTTCCACACGCTGACCTTTTGGTTAGCAGGCGAGCGCTTAGCTATGGCACCACCAGGGCTCCTTGACAACGCTAGAGGAACGGTTAAATCAACTACGTTACACCGAAACAAGAGACTATCACACAGCACAGCTGTGAAGGCTGACGTAACTCTAAACAGGGAGCAATGAAGGGGTCTACCAGACACTCCTGGGGGAAAATACTATACAAACCAGCTACGCTCTGAGCCCATTTTGTTAAGAAACAACAAAGTATACGTCGCGTGGGTGTGTACTCTAACGTGTTAATAGTGCTTAATGAAAGCTATTCTCATTTTGAAAACAAAAATGAATGATCCTGTGTCATTTTTAGAACCATACCATTGAGAAGACCTCAAGTTAATTTGCGCAAATGAATTAATCATCGGTAAGGTACAGTTTAAGGAGCCTTGGTGATGCAATAGTTCAGCGCTTGGCTGTTAACCGAAAGGTTGGATGTCTGAACCTACCAGTGCTCCATGAGAGAAAAGACTTGGTGAACAGCCCTCCTAAAACTGACAGCCTAGGAAACCCTATGGGGCGGCTCTACTCCGTCATGTAGGGTCGCTATGAGTCAGAACCGACTCGACAGCACGCAACCACAAGGTACAATTTAGGGGCGTTGGTGGCTCAGTGGTAGGATTCTCGCCTGCCCTGTGGAAGATCCAGGTTCGATTCTTGGCCAGTGCACCTCATGCGCAGCCACCACTCACCTGTCAGCGGAGGCAGGCATGTTGCTATGGTGCTGCACAGGTTTCTGGGGAGCTTCTAGATTAAGATCCAGTAGGAAGAAAGGCCTGGCATTCTACTTTTGGAAATCAGCCATTGAATACCCTATGGATAACAACAGTCTCTGATTCCCAACCGATTGTGGGGACGGAGCAAGACTGGGCAGCATTTTGTTCTGTCGTCATGGGGTCACCACGAATCAGATGCTGACTTGATGGCAGCTGATACCAACAATGTGTAGCTTATCCCATCTGGAGTTTATTTAGCGTGTATTACATTTAGCTTTACTTCCCCCTAGAATCAGCCCAACTGTTTCCAAATCATCTACAAATGAGTGTATCCTTTCTTGGTGACTTGAAGTGACACCTTTATGATGAACTAATTTCCTATATAAACATGAAGTCTCTGGACCCTCCTTTATCATCCATTGATCTAATTGTCTATTCTGCACTAACATCAGATGATTTAAATTGTTACAGCTTTAGTATACTTTGATCAAGTCTTTCATCTCTACTTTAAAAAAATTTTTTTAATATCACATTTTTTCTACTAGATAAATTTTACATTTATTTTAAATATTTTTCAAGTCTTTAAATCAAAGTAAGACATGCACATGGATTTTAAAAAGTCAAACAGTAGAAAAGGTTTTATAATTCTTAATTTTCCTGTTCAGTGCCCCAGAGAGATCCCCTTTTAATGCTTGTTTCTTTCTAATAGTTAGGCATTCAAAGGCTTACACAATGACTTCTTTCTTTATCAGCCTGAGACATTTTCTAACAATGCCCTACTACAACAGATGAAGGTTTAGGTTCCTTTCAGTATCACCCCTACCCTTCTCACCTTCTTTTCCCTTTCACATCCCATCACAGTCCAGTCTTGTCACTGGACAAAAACATAAATCAGATCATAACACCCCATTCCATAAACCATCCCAATGACTTCTCCAGTCCCATCATATTCCTGGTTCTTGGAATATCCCAAGATCATTCCCATATTAGGATCTTTGCACCTGCTATTAATCTGGTATCCTGCTTGCTAACTGAATCAGCTGGTAGTTTTCTAGCTGACTCTCTTGGATCCTGCAGACCACCATATAATCTTGACTTCCACATTTCCTGACAATATTTATCTCTCATTTCCTTTTCTTGTCTTAATATATTGGCCATGATCTCAAACTCAGTGTTGAAGAACAGTGATTTTATTAGGCATCCAAGTCTTGCTCCTAACTTTGGTAGGAATCTTTCTAAGATTTTGCTATTATGAATACTGACTATAGGTTTCCTTTATCATGTTCTGGAGGTAGCCTTCTCTCCACACTTTGTTAACAGTCTTCAAGTTTCTTTTTTTCAAGTGTAGTGAATTTTAAAAAATATATTTTTTGCTTCTCTATTGAGATAATCAGTTTGTTTTCTTTATTCTGCTAATTTGGTGGAGCGATTATTATGCTGTTAGATTTGACTTACTAATGTTTTACATGGGTTGTTTTTCATCTTAACACTTTCAAACCTACATTTATGCGTTTATAACTTCTCATCTTAACCATACCTCTTGGCAGCATTTATAATAGTAGGATATTCATTTTCTCTTTCTTAAAATACTTTTTTATTTGGCTTCCCTGGTATCACATTATCCTGATTTTTCCTTCTATATCCTTGGTCGCTCTGTCTGAATCGCGGTACAGTTCCTCTCTTCTGTGTGACCCACACGTTGGGACTGCCTCAGGGCCTGATACTAAACCAGCGGTGCCCTGGTAAATATTTAACTGTTTCTCCGAAAAAAAAAAAGGCTTGATTTGTAGCATTTACCAATATTCATGGTGGATATACTCACAGCACTGCCAACTTGAAGACACCAATGTAATGTCACTGAACGCAGAGCTGAGAAGAAAAGGGCATCACTGTCTCTCACACCCCACTAGAGGCCGACTCCAGCACCAGGGGACCGAGTCCTCTTTTCTGTCTGTACTTTCTCTCTGGGAGATCGACTTCATTTCTGTGCCTTTGGCATCAGTTTTGTAACTCCAACTCTAACCTATTTTTTGAGATCCAGATACAACATCCAACGGCCCCCTGGATGTCTTCAATGGCATGCTGCGTAGGCACCTGAATGTTTTGTCCACAAAACTTCCACCAAAAATCACAAAATAAAACAAAAAAATTGGTAGTTTCACACACTAATGCTAGATCTTATCCCAGAGATATATTTCTCCATCCTCTCCGTCTAAATAAATGGCACCACCACCTATCTAATATCTAAAAGTTCAAGCCAGAAACACGAATTCCTCCTTGAACATTCCCACACCCAATTCATAACCTGTCCTCCTTTCTAATTTACCTCGCATTAATCTACTTCTCAGCCTCCAAAGTCATCATACTAGTCTTCTCACCTAAACAAAAAAAAAGGCAAACCCGTTGCCATCGAGTCGATTCCAACTCACAGCGACCCTACAGGAGAGAGGAGAACTGCCCCACAAGGTTTTCAAGCAGTGGCTGGTGGATTCGAAATGCCGACCTTTTGGTTAGCAGCTGAGCTCTTAACCACTATGCCACCAGGGCTATCTTCTTACCTAGACCACAATAGCCTCCTAACAGGTCTCTGCTTCTATTTTGCTATTCTACAATTTTCTTGCTTCAACGTAGTCACAGAAATGTTTCTAAAACATAAGCGCTTAAGACCACAGTACTCCCCTACTTAAAACTCTTCAAGGGCCTCTTCTAGCACTTGGAATTGTCAAAAACTCCTTAATACACTTGATAAAGCACTGGACATTTTAGCAACCATCCATCTCCAAGATCAACTGACGTCATCCCTACCCATCCCACCTCACTTTAGCCACAACCGGCTTTTCAGCAATTGAGATGCTCCATGCTCCTTTCCAACTCCAAGCCTGTTCGTCTGCTCTTCCCACCGTTGTTCACAGCCTGGCTTTTCCCTAAGCCCACCCCGTACTGTCACTCTTTTATACATAGGCCTCGATCATTTCCTTCATAGCACTTATCACCCATTACAATGATACAGGTTTAAGGCCAGTCTCCCCAGAATTACAAGCTTTACAGGAGCAGGATCCTATGGATTTTGTTTACCAAGCATACACAGTACCTATGATTGTTTGTGGTACCTTATAGATGCTCAAAAATAAGGCAAACTACAGGGGATAAAAGATGGTCTGGACTATACAGCGAGTTTTACAGAAAAAATCAGAATCCTGCCTAACTTCCCATACAGTCAGGGACCTAACATGAAGTAATACAGTTGTTGTTGTTGTTAGGTGCTGTCGAGTCGATTCTGACTCATCGTGACCCCATGGGACAGAGCAGAACTGACCCA